CTTCTTCCTCTTCTAAAATCACTCTCCCCTCTAAAAGCTAGAGAAAAGGAAGAGCAATTTTAGGTTAAAGAAAAAGCGGTAGAGTGAAGACTTCAAAAAAGCTCTCATCGTCTTTGTTTTTTTTTTTGCTTTGTGATAGGGCTCAGGTTTTACCCAAATAAAACTACTGCAAGTGCATAACAATGCAGTTATAGTATAAGGAGTTATCGAATCCCAAGGGAGTAGGCTTACTACACTGGCGATTATAGATTCGGATTAAGCTAAGCGATAATGAATGAATGTAATGCAAAATAGTTAAATAAATGCAAGAAGACGTTTTTATGATTGTTCTTAAAGTTCAGAAAGCTAAAGGCGCTAAGTCAGGATAATTCACAGGTTGAATCCGAGAGTGTAGAATGCATGCAATCATGAATGAATTAAAACCGTCTAGAACATGAAACACAAAGATATAACTAATCAATTCTCATTGCAGAAGTTATCTATGTCTAAATCATAGAGTTCCAAATCTCTTTGCAAACTCTAACAACCTAAACATGCAGTAATGATCAAGATCATTTGTTCACAAAACTCCTAAATCAAATCTCTTTGCAAATAGGCGTTTTGCTCATCTAATACTAGTTCAGGTGATTAATAATATTTTCACATCTATTGAACAACCTAGGGTTTCGAAATTCAGATGATGTGTCAAAGTAATCGATGTGAATGCAAGCACAGATGAAGAACCAATTGATTTCCTATCAGTTAAAGTGATTCTACAAACTCTTCATCAACCTTTGAAAAGCCCTAACTTAACTAACAAACTACTCAGACATGGTGAATGAAACAAACATCATGAATAGAATAGATTGCATAAAAGAAATTTGAAATAAAGATAAAGGAGTTCAAAATCTGCTCTGAAGGAGTCTGATTTGTCTCTCTAAAGCTCTGCTACAAATCTCTCTCTAAAGTGGTCTAAAAAATAAGATCCAAGATAAAAGCCAACAATGGCTGAACACCTAATATATACAGGCCAAAACACGAGCTGAGGTCTTCTTGTAAATAATGAAACTTTTGAGTCAAAACTGTAATTTTCTTTCCATCGTTTAATACAAATCGCGATTTCTCTTCAGAGGCTGGTGATGAGCGTCACCCATAAGTGGTGACGCTCGCCACCCATTGCAGGAGAACGGTTCTGACTTGCTTCCTTCGTGGTTGATCCTTGCAATAATCCAAAAAAATTCCAAAACTTCTAATTATACTCCAAACAAGCTATAACCTGCAAAGACTCAACTAGGACTCTAAAAAGACTCAATAAAAAAGACTTATATCATAGTTAAAAACCAAAATATATCACTTTGGAAGCAACCCATTAAGTCTTTTGCTCAAACAGTAAACGTACTTGCATTAGAACTTCTATAAATTACTACTTGATTAATTAATATTTTGATAAATTACTAATTTTTGTCAGTTTCAATATTATTTTATCAACCAAATAATAGAGGTTTTACTGTAAAGTACATTGATTTTTGGTTAAGTTTAAGTGTAAAATGTGTTACTTGTAACAAAATTTCAAACCCCACATAAATAGTCTATCTCACTTGTAACGAAACATAAGGATCACCATGCATAATCATGTATGTACTAATTGATCAATGTACAGATTTCTGGTTCACTTCACAATTTAGTATAGTGGACACTAATGGATCAATACACTATAATTTACCTCTTTCGCCAGAACAAAACTGTAGCATCTATAGTTTGACGGTTGCTCGCCCCACCCGTTGTTCTGCCATATCAACATTCTCTATAATTGTTCCCCTATAACTTCAAGCGATTAAATTAGGCATCATGTTTGCTTTAAAGATTGCCCTTGAGTTATCAATATCCACCTGTGGTTCGGTACTCAATCAAAGACTAATAGTGAGATAACATATTTCTATGTTTTTGTAATCAAATATTTTTTTCATAAAGAAGGCGTGAGAAGAGAATATGCACTAAACGATTTTCATGTTTTATATGTAAGTCATTATTCAAAATGGAAAGAAAACCCAATATCTTCCTGAATAGAACTGCTTCTAGTTCCGTAAATTCAACTTCCTCTTTGTTATCTTTTCTTTTTCCCCGATAACAACAAAAAGCAGTAAATGATTCAATACAATTTATAAATTAAAAAAAAACCTTTTATCCATGGTTCAAAAGTTTGTCTCAGATGAACCAAAAACTACAAACTTCTTAAATTCTTACATGATAGACTGATCTTCCTCTTTTTCTTTGTCTCCTCTTTTTATTTGTCTCCTCTTTTTCACATTGTATATAATATCAAACGAAAAAGATAATTACTTAATTCCAAAAGCAAGTGAAGTGAATGAACAAAACCATCTCCTTAAACAAACTCAATATACTTGGCAAAGAAAATGAACCAAACGAAAAATGTTGATCAACAATCTGATTATTGTTTCTCATAGTATTCTTACTAATTTAATTCCACACATATATTAATGAGATGACTTAGTGCCATTAGTTGTTTAGACTTCTATGTATACAATTTTAGAGGCTAAGAGCTATTCCAACCCTATATCAAATCTGGTTTCAAATTTCATTTTCGAATAAAATGTGCTCCAACCCCATCTTATTTTCAATTGCATAATGGTATAATGCTATTTTTTATTCCAAATATGGAACCATTTTATTTTGAATTCTATTTTGCAATTGAACTTTTTTTATTTATAAACTGGTCCTTCAAATTTTTTATTTTAGAAGATAAATAATTATCTTAATGATAATTTCTTTTTTATTGATGATAATAAATATTGAAACATTCTAATTTCTAAAATTTAGACGCAAATAATATTTATTTAATAAAAAATATAGTGACATAAACCATAAAAGTTAATTTTGAAATAAATTAAATGGATGGATTAATTTGTAAATTTTGAAAAATATGTGTATAATTAGCAATTAATAATAAAAAATTCACTTGAAAAATATATCATACACTAAAATAAAATCCAATTGCATTTTGCAATTATTCTATTTTGGTATGGAAAATGTACTCATACATTGGAGATGCTCTAGTAGCTTTAATTTGTAAGTAATAATTTTGTTTTTAATATAGCAACAAAAGGCTTAAATTATTAATATTTATGTCTTTTCATTCGCAAAAATATTGATGATTATATTAATTTTTCTTTCATCTTTTCAAGCTTATGAACTACTATAAAAATTCAAAAACAAAAAAGGAATTCAAAAAATAAAACAGCTCAGAATCTTTATCTTCTATTTACGTATACCTGAATCATTTATTTACGACAAAGGTTAATTTTTCTACAAAAGCAACTACTTCTCCCCCAACCATATTATAGTACGTATATGGGCATCGAGATCTACCCCTTGCCTAGCGCCCACCCATCTCCTCTATTATCTTGGAATGCCATAAAAGATGTTAGGGTCTACTTGTTTTTTTTTTTCAATTTTTCGGTTAAAAAATTGTAGGTCTACTTGAGTCTGTAGGTTGATAACATTGAATAACTTATCTTTTATGCAACCATAATTTATGGCACTTTTGAATCTGTCTTATATTTTTTGTATCACTGCAAATATTTTGAGCTAGTTTGAAAAGGCTAAATAGGAGTAGTATTTTAGAGTTGATTGTATCGGTTTGTTACAGATATTATTTATTGGTTCTGTTTCACTGGTCTAATTTGTATATAAATTTGTTAGTTTATAGTTTTGAAATTATAAGGAACAGTTTCCTCATTCTTGTCTATTTACTATGTAGTTTTGACTGGTGACCATTAAATTTATAATAAGAATGAAAAAGAGAAAAATGAAAGAAGCAAAATAATAAGAATTATTGTTTCTTTTTAATTTTGATAGGAAATATATTAACATTATAGTTCTTTAAAACATGAAGAATGAAAATGAATCATGTGTACAATATATTCCTATTAAATGATGTAATTTTAAGGAATGATAAGAAATTTAGTATTCTTTCTCGTTTTTTTGAAGGCTAGTTAAAACATGTGTGTGATTTGTTTATAGATGAGAAATGTGTTTTTCTTACTTAGTAAAACAAAAACCCAACCCTACAAAGTCACAGTAAACGAATTTAAAAACTAACATAATTACATCCTAAAGCAATATTAGAAGATGGGCGAATATATTATGAACCGTTTGACTGATCTTCCTTTTAACCTCATAATTACATTTTTTTTCCCCTAAAGGTGATAAGGTGAAAAGGCCACGTTACCTTGTAATGGGATGTTTTTGAATTCTGAAGGAGATGGTTTTAATTTTTAAATACAAGGACAACAGATAAAAGAGGTAGTTGCTTGTTCCTTCACTCTATTTATTACTCATGAATGTTGGTAGTTACTCCATAAATATAGCTTTATCTATACATTCACTATTCCTTTGGTAATAATTTAAAGAAACACGACAAAATAATAGGTTCGCGGCTTGTTTTATTTCATACTGAATTATTTTTTGCTATAGATGCATATATATGAGGATTGTCAACGCTTATCTGTCCTAGAAAATAATAAATTTCCAGAACAAAAACAAAAAAATAAAAGTCTTTAACAAAAACAAAGCAATTACAAATTTCTTTTGAGTGTAGTATTCAATAAACAAGAACTCTTAATGTAGTTAAGTGCTTATATTCAAGTTTCAAGTCTAATCTGTGTCGATTATATTCTTTCATGAATTGAAGGATTAATGTACTGTTGTTTTCGTACTTGTAAAGGGCCAACTAACAAAAAAAAAAATATAACATCAATCTTGGCTCATTATACAAAAAGAGAAAACTAAATTTAATTCGTTTGGTCATCACTTGCTCCATTTGCACTCCGCTTTCTATATATGTAAACAGAGCCAGCTTGAACGAAAGGCCACGACACTACTTAAAATAGAACCAAAGTGTAAACACATAACAACACTTTTGTCCTCTTCTCTCAACTCATAGTCACTCTCCAATGAAGAACATAAATATGGTTTTCTTCAAGGTCTTCTTAATCTCATTAATGGTATCATTAGCCATGAAAGGATCTGGGATCAACTTAGACGATCTCCAAAACTTCTTCCTCAATAACCTTGAAACCATAATTCTCCTTTCATTTCCTCTGCTTTTCTTGTTGACCATCTACATGTTAACCCGGCCCAAACCCGTTTTCCTCGTCGACTTCTCGTGCTACCTCCCACCGTCTCATCTCAAGGTCAGTGTCAAAACGCTGATGGAACACGCTAGGCGTGCAAGAGAAGCAGGCGTGTGTTGGAAGAACAAAGAGAATGACTATTTGATTGAGTTTCAGCAGAAGATTCTTGAACGTTCCGGTCTGGGTCAAGAAACCTGTATCCCCGAGGGTCTCCAGTGCTTCCCGCTTCAGCAGGACATGGCCGCTTCGCGTAAAGAGACAGAGCAAGTAATCTTCGGAGCTCTAGACAATCTTTTCCGCAACACTGGAGTAAAACCTGATGAGATCGGTATATTGGTTGTGAATTCTAGCACATTTAATCCGACTCCATCACTTGCTTCCATGATTGTGAACAAGTACAAACTCAGAGACAACATCAAGAGTCTGAATCTTGGAGGAATGGGTTGCAGTGCCGGAGTCATAGCCATTGATGTTGCAAAGGGGTTATTACAAGTCCATAGGAACACTTATGCTATTGTTGTAAGTACAGAGAACATCACTCAGAACTTGTACTTGGGGAAAAACAAATCAATGCTAGTCACAAACTGCTTGTTCCGGGTTGGTGGTGCAGCGGTTCTGCTTTCCAACAGATCAAGAGACCGTGGACGCGCCAAATACGAGCTTGTTCATACCGTAAGGATCCATACAGGATCAGATGATAGGTCCTTCGAGTGTGCAACGCAAGAAGAAGATGAAGATGGTATAATCGGAGTTACCTTGACAAAGAATCTACCAATGGTTGCTGCAAGAACTCTTAAGATCAATATCGCAACTTTGGGTCCTCTTGTTCTTCCAATGAAAGAGAAGCTTGCTTTCTTTGTGACTTTTGTCAAGCAGAAGTATTTTAAGCCAGAGTTGAAGAATTATACTCCGGATTTCAAGCTTGCCTTTGAGCATTTCTGCATCCATGCTGGTGGAAGAGCTCTAATAGATGAGCTTGAGAAGAATCTTAAGCTGTCTCCATTACACGTTGAGGCCTCTAGAATGACACTACACAGGTTTGGTAACACTTCTTCGAGCTCAATTTGGTATGAGTTGGCTTATACAGAGGCTAAAGGAAGGATGAAGCAAGGAGATAGGATTTGGCAGATTGCTTTGGGATCAGGTTTTAAGTGTAACAGTTCAGTTTGGGTGGCTCTACGCAACGTTAAGCCTTCGGTTAACAATCCATGGGAAGATTGTATGGACAGATACCCAGTTGAAATTGATATTTAATTAATGTTATGGTTTAGGCCATTATGGCTATAACTATCTATCTTTATTTAATTTTGCGGCCAATTTTTTTTTTTATGTTTGCTCTTTGAAAGGGATTGCATCATTCATATGTTTGTCGTCTTGCCGTTTGTAGCTTGTTTAAGTATGAACTTATAGATGATATTAAACTTTCTTTACATAACAGTCATTACAAGAAATAGGTACCAAATTTGTTTCTTTGGCTATAAACCAAAATTCATGGCAAAATTTAGTTTGCTGTTTCGCATTAGCTCAATAATTGGCAGTGCTTGTCCACAAGCCTAGAGGCCTTCTTAAAACAAATCGTACTGCAAATATGCACATGAACTAAGATTCAAATTTCGTTACAATAATCAAATATTGTTGAAAGGTGTATCACCTAAGCAATAAATCGGATATCTAACAGATTTAATCGAGGACTTTACTATCTTTGATTAATTCTAATGCAAATTTTATTTTAAGTTGAAAATGGGTTTGGACTAGTGGTTTGCACGGCATGTCTATCAAGTTGTTGGTTTCAACTCATTCCTATATTATTTTTCCCATATTAATGAGGTATTTGTAAAATCATACGAAATCCTAATTTGGCATCAAGTTGTTGGTTTGGTCTCCACATTCGACCGACGGGATTTTTAGACATTATTTTTTTCTATTTTCATATTTTCTTCTTCTTCTTTTCATTCATAAGTATGACCAACATACACATATCAGAATTTAAAAGCCTATTTAAACTAGTGATTGATTTTGGAATTAGCGCTCTTTTGAGCAAATACTGTATAGGAGGATATTTGAAGCGATTCATGGCCACCGAACTACTAACCGTTGTGTAGGCGGTCACTAAAAATGCGTTGTAGAACAGTGATATAAACATTTAAAATATAAGAGGTTTAACACAAAAAAAAATAAAAAATTAACACATGCCAAACTTTTTAAATACAAATTTATTAGTAGTTAAAAAAACAAAAATTTCCATTTTTGATATCATTTTGACATTTATTTTATTGCAAATGTACATATCATAGTTAAACTAAATTTTTATATCTTTTTCGTTTGAATAATGCTTTATATTTCTCCCCTTTCAAAGTATTTATTATTTTAAATTTATTTTTTGTTTCAAAATATTTTGTTTTTCAATTTATTTTTTGAAAAACAATTTAAATATAATCTCACTTAAACAAAAAATATTTATTAAATGTAGTAGAAAATTAAAATTGTAAATTGATATTATTTGTGAGGTAAAAATAGTCAACTAACAAAATTGCTTAATTTAAGTAAAACAACGTAAATTGATGTTTTTTTATGTTTTTTTCGTTTGAATAATGCTTTATATTTCTTCTCTTTTAATGTACTTATCATTTTAAATTTATTTTTTTTGTTTCAAAATATATCATTTTTCAATTTAATTTTTGAAAAAATTTTTTTTAATATAATCTCACTTTAACACACAATATATATTAAATGTAGTAGAATTAAAATTGTAAATTGATGTTATTTGTGAAGTAAAAATAGTCAACTAACAAAATTGCTTAATCTAAGTAAAACAACGTATAATGACAAATATTTTGAAACACAAGGAGTAATACCAAAAAATAGAAAACATATTCTGGAAAATAGTAAAAAAAAAGACAGATTAAAAATGCCGGAAAAAACTTTTCTCTTTTAGCTTCTAATACTGATTTTCACATGAAAGCTTAAATTTTTGAAAAAGCTTTTAATCCCAAATGGTTCTGCCTCTGCTTTTTCAATAAAGCTGTTTCTGCTAATTTGACAGTAGAACCAATATCAGATTTAACCGAGCAGAAACTGTTTTTATTATGTGCCCAAATAACAGTGTCAAGCTGGTTAACATGCGGTTTCATGGATAGAACCAACTCGTGATCTTCTGGACAAAATATACAATCATAGTCAATCTATGCATGCAAATATTCATAGTTTCAACTCATACTTTAAGAACTTTCTCTAGTAACTATCTACCATATATGATTTTTTTTCAATGCCAGCTTGTAAAAACTCCACATTATTGAAACACGGACTCTTTAAAACTCTAGAACAAAGGCTTTTAGTGTAATGAAGAAGTCTACATGCTTGCTTTGCAAGAAAAGTTTGATTAAAACATTTAAGGTCTCAGAGGCCTATTGAAATATTCTAGATTTGTTTTATGATAAACATCAATACTTGTATTAGGATATGTTCATATCTTGATTTGGCTATATCTCTTAAATAGCAGGATCGAGTCTTGTGTATAAATACATTTGTATATTTCATTGTGAATAACACAACAGAACATTTAGTTCAATTTGACATAGTACCAAGACATCAAACGATTCATAAATATCAATTTTTCGTATTCTACTTTCTTTTCTTCTTGCTTACGATTCAAGTCCTTTGATGTCTGAAGCATCTCTGGCAGCTACAATTGTTCCAGACAAGTTGATGTCGCTATTACTTGCATCCATCGGATAGTCCTGGGCAAGTTCAAACTCCAATCTTGTTGAACAGATCTAATTATGCACGTTGAGGGAATGTGATGATCAATTATCTTCGCACAAAAAAAATTTGGTTTCATTGACGGAAGCCTTAAACGACCGTCCAACAATTCTGAGGAGGTAGAACAGTGGGACATGTTCAACTCTATGATAATTGGGTGGATCTACAGTAGCATGGAACTCAAGCTTCGACCCTCTATCTCTCTCGTTGAGAGCGTGAAGGCCATCTGGGCTAGCTTTAAATGATAATTCTTGGTGAGTGTCAACACGTGAATTCATCAGTTACATGAGGATATTGGATATTGCTGCATGTTAATAATGTGGTGATTCAGTTGAAGAGTATTTTGGCAAACTCAAAGTTTTGTGGGATGACCTTGCCGATTTTGAAAAAATGTTTCACCTGTTGTTACAAAAACCCATATTGTGCATCAATGATGAGTTATGAAAAGAGTTAAGAGAGGGTTTATTGTCACCAATTCCTGATGGGACTTAATGACACATTCAATATTTTGAGCAAAGGAAGTGCAATGAATCTTGAGATAATTTACTCTCAAATGATTCAGGCGGAGCGCCATTTATCGGTGATGAGAAGCTTTGGTGACAGAGTTCTGACAGTAGCGTTCTCAGCCAAAACACCTACGCCTTTTGTTCAAGCAGCAGCAGCTCGCTTCAACTATTATTCTCCAACAACATGTTCTTATTGTGGAAGACAGGACACGATGTGAATAGCTGTTTTGAGCTTGTTGGGTTTCCCAAGTGGTGGACTGACAAGAACAAGTAATCCGACACTAATAGTAGTGACTCCAAAGGCTGGGGTCGTGGTCAAGCAAATCAGGGCAGAGGTTGTGGTGGCTGTGTCTCTGGTTTTGGCTCCAACAATTCTCAGATCAATGAAGCTTCGGGATCTCCTGACATTCCGAATTTCAGTGTTGAACAATGGGCTTCGTTGGCATCCTTATGAATACCCAAAAGCAAGCCTCATCAGAAAAGCTCTCGGGTAAGAAAGACAAACTTTAATTTTTTGGCAAAGACAGTAGCTTTGACATTATTATTGATTCCAGCGCCTCTCATCCCATGACATGGGATATTTCTTTGCTTACAGATTTGATTTCCATCGATCTGTGTCTCATCAATTTACTGAATGGGAAACTTGCTTGGGCCACACTTCATGGGAGTTTAACTCTCAGAGGGAGACTTGTGTTGCACAGAGTTTTTTATACTCCTCAATTATCTATCACTCTTATTTCAGTGGCTCGGCTGTTACATGACGTTGTTTATTGTGTGCTCTTTATGGAAAAAAAAATTGTTTAACACAGCACCAAACTTCAAAGATTTTGATTAGAGCGGGTGAGGAGCATGATAGGATCTATCACTACATGGGTACTATTGCAGTTAACGCTGGTTATTCTGGTAAGATTGGACTCCAAGAGCTGTGGCATCGTAGGTTAGGCCATCCATCATCAACGGTGCTTTTGTGTTTATCAGATTTAGGTGATTTTTCTAGTAGTTCCATTGCATTTGAACAAGCTTGTGGTATTTGTGTCAGAACCAAACAATCTCGAAATAAGTTTTTTGATAGTTCTAATAAAGCAGACTCTGTTTTCTCTATGATACAATGTGATCTTTAGGGCCTTTACCATAAACCATCTTCATCTGGAACTCAATATTTTTTTACAATCATTGACGACTTCTCTCATGCCGTCTAGACCATCTTGTTACTTGAAAAGAAAGAAACACCAAATGTAATAAAAAACATTCTTTACATTTGTCTCTCAGAAATTCAACAAAAATATTCAAGTAGTTTTCAGTGATAATGGCGTCGAATTCGCTTGTTTAAAGACATTTTTCGGATAATAGAGTACTTCACCAAACTTCATGTGTCGCAACACCACAGCAGAATGAATGTTAGGAGAGGAAGCACAGACACATCCTAAACGTTGCAAGGTCTTTATTATTCCAAGCGCATCTCCCAATCCAGTTTTGGGGTGAGAGCATCTTGACCGCAACATACTTAATCAATCGGACACCCTCAAAGCTTTGTGAGTACAAGTCTCTGTTTGAAGTTCTTTTTGGATTTGCTCCTTCTTATGATCACATTCGAACATTTGGTACAATATGCTATGACAAATGAGTGATTCGTAACAATGAAAAGTTTGGAGCTTGAGAAATTTAGAGTTTGTTTGTAGGTTATCCTCTTGATAAGAAAGGATGGCTAGACTCGATTTTGAAACAGAGAAGACGTTTGTGTCAAGAGACGTCGGTTTTCATGAATCTGTATTTCCATTTGCGAAACCTAGTCTTATTCCTGAGCCGGCTTCTTTACATGCGCATCCTGCTATATTTGATGATGTTTATCCCGTTAGTGAGGTGGTTTTGCAGACAGGGGGAGAGACTTCTGCGCATGCTGGCACACCTGTTATTCCAGACAATGTTCCTCCACGACAATTAGAGGAGCACAGTAGAGGATATCATACTCGCATTCTGTCTCTTTTGTTA